GAAAGAAATGAAATCCATTCAGTGGAAAAAAAGGGGGGGGGGGGGGGATATATATGGCATGAACAAAAGATCTATTAGGTAAAAGGGAAGAAAAGAAACTTATGTAAAGCATGTCTTAAAGAGAGGCATGTATATAAGACTAGGACCCCAAACTCGCATATGAACCCGGCCTAATGCACCATACTTGCTCAGTGTACAAGTAAGAAAAGTTATCAAGTAAAAAGCAATTAAAATACCTGTACTCTTAGTGAGAGGCAGCACACTAAAAGAATAGCCCGTCAGGTCAGCGCAGCTCCCAAGACTCTGTCTCCCATGATGACGTCATACTCATCACGTGGCCAAAAAGGCCAAGCCCCCAGCAATTGCAGCACGAAAGGAGTGGTATATCCAAGGGTCTGCACGTGTGGGGCGTTCTATTAGACCTATGGCTAGACTTATTTATGATCATGTATATTTAGCCTTAAATGTTAAGATGGTAACTCCCATTAGCCGCCATGTGGGGCTATACCACAATTTTAACCCCAAGGTTCTGTCCTTCTATGGCCTTGAACCCACTGAGGAAAACATACGTGGGGGAAACCTGGATCAAATGATCCCTCATAGAGTAATGGAATGGGTATATAAATTGAGAGCTACTCAACTCCCTGGCCTCAATGAAGCTTTGAGCTTCAAACCCTTTCTTTGATAGCCCATCTAGGGCCTGTTTGACTGTCAGGTCCGCCTTTGTGCTGATGGCACTGGGGCAGCCCACGTATATTGGAGGTAAATTTGCCACTTTGTAGTGTGGTTAATGTTTTCCTTTTCCATCTGGAGATGTCACCCCCACCCCCCTTTTTTGAATGTCCAAGTGCTATGGGAGGTGTGGGAAATGTTTTATTCTATATCCACCTATTTGATGTCTTCAGACAAGGACCTATTTAACAACAAAATAGGACCCAAGAGAATGAGGAGCATCTTGTAGGATAATCAAATAACCCCCCGTAGAGAAACGAAAGGGGTACATGGATTGAGACCCTCTCTTTAATATATTGTCTTGACAATCTGCTGTTCGAATCTGTGGTTGTACTGATTGGCATGGGGGTAGTCTTTGCACACTGAGGTGGATTGTGTCCTTCCATGGTGTGGAAAGTGCTTGCCCCTATTTTCAGACTGGTCCTCTTCTCTATATATTTAAATATTATAGAAGGTGTGGGAAATGTTTTGTTTGGATTGAATCCACATACTCAATCCTTTATAGATAAGACCATATATAACAGCATAGCTGGATTTTTGAGAGCTAGTAATGTTTTTTGATACTCCCGTTCTCAAAATCATGTATAGTGGGTACTCTCCAAAGTAACCTTGCACGAGATGAAATACTGGTCTGTTATATTCAGGTATCCATCTTTTATACATACTATGATATTTCCTTACCTTTTCCTCATTACCTTTTCTGTGTATGCTGCTCTCTAATCTGGGCCCTAGTCTTATATACATGCCTCTCTTTAAGACATGCTTTACATATGTGAGGGGGGTTTCTTTTCCTCCCTTTACCTATAGATCTAATGTTCATGCCATATATATTTTGCCCCCCCCCGCCCCCCTTTTCCAATAGATGGATTTACATTCTTTGAGGTAATTGTCTCTGGCATAGACACCTCTGACCTACCATATGGGCTCTTCAGGTTCAGGCGCTGATTATCTGACCTGCTCCACTGTCTGGGAGAATTTATTTTCTGCCCCTGGTTATGTTTCATGCAGACATCCATTGACTCCATCTGAGACTGGTAAGAATGACGGCTCCATTTTCACTACTCTGTATATACCCTGAAAAATTGTTGATGTATTTTTAGCTATCAATGGTTTGTTTGTGTTATTTGCTTTATAAAATATTTCAATATGGTCATCCTTGCATATGAATGATCAGGTAATTTACAAAGCTCTTCTACAGTTTTAAATTTAGATTACCTCCGCTCCTGATGTAGCGTATTTATACGCAAAACGCGTCGAAATAAACCCACCATCACAAATCCTCTGGGTTCAAGCTAAGGACTATAAATTATCCATACCTTACAAATTAATGTTTGTGATGTTTTCATGTCATATAGATCATGCCATCAATTGAATCATGATAATCATGCCCTAATTAGTTGAATTCTGTAATTAGAATATAAACCCAGCATCATCAATCTTGTGGGTTTAAGCTAAGGGCTATAAACTATTCATATCCTATTTACATTATTTAATGGCATTGATGTTTCTATGTTACATAGATCATGTTACCAATTGAATCATGTTAGCCATGCTCCATTTTCTTGAACTCTGGAGTTAGGTGGTTATTGGGAGGTATCTATGTTCACTTTTTATCATGACCACTCTCTCTTAATCATGCAATCAATAAACAATACATTTTAACCTTTATATCTTTCTGTGAATTATCGCTCTAAGTGCCTAAAAAACCCCCCACTTTCTTCATCTATTTTCTTTTTTTTTTTCAGAAATACGTTTTTATTGAATTTTTACAAAGACAAAAGAACGTGGATACAATAACAGAAACAAAAAGGCGTACATACAGCACAAAGACCTGTGGTCTCATTAATCAGATACATAGCACGTCCAGGCCTTAGGGCATAGAAGGCACACATGGTATAGGCAGTTATGCAATCCCTGAGCTAAACATAATATATAAATCGCCACCATGTAAGGTTATGATCAACGCCTCGCCGTCTGGGGCGAATCACATCAGAGGAGCAGGCAATCGGTGGACCCGTAGAAAAAGGCGACCGAGGCGCTGTACTGAGAACATTCAATACAAACTAGAAGGAGAGCAGGGTAGATAGGAACATACATAAAGAAGGGAGGGGGTGTGTGGAAATAAGAAACGGGGGAAGGGGGGGGGGGGAAGAAGACAAAAGGAGG